AGCTTTCATATCTCAGTTTCTAACACTGGTCGCAAGCACTGCATGTCAGACCCAGCAGAAAAGTTGGAGGAAAACCCTTCAGGCAAGGCTGAAACCCTTGTTGAAATTAGGCTTAAAAAAAAAAAGCAATGGCTGCATTTCTAAGAGTTTGGAGCCCAGACTCCCACCAGTTCCTCCAAGCAGAAATCCAAAAGGAAAGCAAGCACACTTTACCCTAATATATGCATTTTTGTATACATCATTTGGTCGGGAAAGTGCATTACAAAATTCAGAGGAGAGCAAATCTCAAAGGATGACTCTGTGTTGGTTCATAATTTGGAACTGGAAGTGTGAATTAGGTAGGGTTGCCTTTAAATGTGAAGTGAATTGAATTCCCACCCCCAATTCCTAAATTTGAGCCCAGTTCTGGACCAAATCTGCCTCTGCAGAACCCCTGATGACTTCAGTGAGGGCACAGTGGGGTCTTCTCCCTCCTCCAACCACCCAATGAATGGTGAGCATTCCAAGCCTCTCCCACCCACCCACCTATGTACCCCCCCCCCCAGTTTCTATGCTTCCCAGCACTGGGGGTGCTAGATTTACAGTCTCACCCCTGGGGTTTGGAAGGTGAGGGAGAAAGACTGCCAGGAGGAAAGTATGAGTCTTGGTGAGATGTGGGAAGGCAACAGAAATGAAGCATTTTAATTCTTCAACTTGAGTTAAAATCCAAGCCAAAGAAGAACTTCTGGCATATTAATTCCTTGCCACCAAGATTTATATTTTCAAGCAAGGGAAGCATTTGGCAATATGTGCAGAATTACCCTTACTCTACAAAGCCTGCGCTGAATTCCCTAGAAACAAGGAGTAAAACAGCACCATCCCCCGTGGGTGGTAACCATGTGAACCCGCTTCTTCTGTACTGGAACTGCGGTTTCAAATCATGAGTGAAAACTTGGCGAATCGGGCTTCCAAGGCTGGCTACACAGAGATCTCAGTGGGAGTTGCAATTTGAGAGAGCGAGATGAAGGTTATTTGGTTTTGCTTTTTGCTTTACTGCAAAAGCACAACAGGTTTGAAGCTGTGTTAGAGGAGTGGAGTGCTAGCAACAATCCAATATACAGGCTGCAGAACTGGAAAGCGATGCTGGTTTCTGCCACCAATGTGTGGTGTGTGTTTTTACTGCCAGCTGGTCACTTCCCTAACAAACTCTCACTTTTCTTTGCTCATCTACAAAACCTTTTGAACATGTTTTGTGAACAGCAAAGTGTGAGAACTGTTGTCTCCACACACCGCCTTCCTATTTTCAAAATCCATTTGGAATCTGTTTCTGCTATGTGAAGTCTGTCTGCTTCCTGGCGCCCTCGAAGGCAAGCGCAGAGACCCTCTGGCCAAGGCAGAAGCAAATGTTTTGTTCTTCGTTTGGGGGATTTTTCTTTTCTTTTCTGCAGCACCAGCTTGTGAAGCAACTTGAATCACCAACCTGCTTATTGTTTGGGGGGAAACAGTCATTTGGTAGATTCGCCTTTACATGTGAACAGAATGAAATTTCACCCCAGTCCCAATTCTGGCTCTAGGGTTCTATAAATCTACTGCCCACCAGTGCTTTGGGTGACCGAGATTTCTAGGGTTTGGAGAGCATGAGAAAACCTTCTCTCTATTTGTTTTCTCCACACTATGCATCATTTTACGACTATATCAAGTCTCTCCTCCCTCCACCCAGACACAGTTGCCACCTTTCAAAACTCAACACTTTTCAACTGGAATGGTGCTTACACTCTCTGTGTGTGTGTGTGTGTGTGTGTGTGTGTGCGCGCGCGCACCAAAATGAAGACAGCAACCATGACAATAAGAAATTCTCCCCCGCTCATTCAAATCAGATCTTGCTCCCTACACTCATGTTATTTTCCTCCAGCTTCAATTACGCCTCTGGAGTTATACACAGTGTCTTGCTGATTTATTGAAGATGGTTTCATTGTATATTCCCTTGCCTTGCCTTGTTTTTTGGGTTTTTTTATTTTCTGGTTCTATCTTTCTCTGCCCAGCTTCACTCTCTCCAAGTTTTGATTGCCCTTCTAAAAAGTAAATCCTTCTGTCTTCTCGCGTTTACCACCACACAATATACCATATTTTTTGCTCTATAAGACTCACTTTTTCCCTCCTAAAAAGTAAGGGGAAATGTGTGTGCGTCTTATGGAGCAAATGCAGGCTGTGCAGCTATCCCAGAAGCCAGAACAGCAAGAGGGATTGCTGCTTTCACTGTGCAGCTATCCCTCTTGCTGTTCTGGCTTCTGAGATTCAGAATATTTTTTTTCTTGTTTTCCTCCTCCAAAAACTAGGTGCGTCTTGTGGTCAGGTGCGTCTTATAGAGCGAAAAATACAGTACCCTTATCTGCCTCCTGCAGAGATGTTGCTTAGGATCTCCGCCCAATTGCAACGTGGGAAAGGGAGAGAAGGGAATGTTTCTCATTTTGCACACCTGCATACACTTCTAGCTTGTAGCAGACCCTATGCAGCAAATGGAAAGACATCTCTGGGGTCTGAACATCCAGCAGATCCTGGACCTGGCCATCTTTCTTGCCTTCAGAACTACCCAGGATTGTGTGCACCTGCGCCTTCCTTCACCTTTGCCTTGCCCTTGACTTCTCTCTTGCACCATTCTCAAGATCCTGCCCCACATAAGAACATAAAAAGAGCCTGTTGTATCAGGCCAATGACACATCTTGTCCAGCATCCTGTTCTCACAGTAGCTAACCAAATGCCTGTGCAAAACCCACAAGCAGGATCTATGCACAAGAGCAACTAGGTGTCAGGGACTGGACTGAAGAGGATGAGGGGGAGGAGCAGGAATGGTGGAAATCACCACCACCTCCTTCTCCTGTAGCTTCCAGAGAGGAGAGAGACAGTCTCGAATTACAGCTGGGCCTTGAGCAAGATAGCAGCTCTGAGACAGGAGAACAGCAGAGTTATGCGTTGTTAGGAGAAGGAGAAGGGGAGGCAGAGCAGCTAGCTGAGGTCCAGCGCCGAGGGCCTTCTGGCAGTTCCCTCACTCCAAGAAGCCAAGTTACAGGGAACCAGGCAGAGGACCTTCTCGGTAGTGGTGCCCGCCCTGTGAAATGCCATCCTACCAGATGTCAAAGAGATAAACAACTGCCTGATATTTAGAAGACATCTGAAGGGAGCCCTGTTCAGGGAAGTTTTTAATGTGTGACATTTTAATGCATTCTTAATCTTTGTTGGAAGCTGCCCAGAGTGGCTGGGGAAACCCAGCCAGATGGGCGGGGTACAAATAGTAAATTATTATTATTATTATTATTATTATTATTATTATTATTATTATTATTATTATTACTGACACATCATTGGACAGCATAACCAGCCCCCTTTCTCCCAAAACATGGTGTTTGTTAAGGGTGCAAGAACAAAGAGTGCAAAGGCAATTGTCCACAGATAGATGCCGTAGAAGCAAATGCTGTTGCTAGAAGAGGAAGGGGAAGGGGAAGGGGAAGGGGAAGGGGGAGGAGTTCAGCGCGAGCAACTCCATTATGGGGAATGACCAGAATTCTTTATCTTTCCTCTGATGGCTGAATAAATCATGCATAAGAACTTTGGAAGTGAGAGCTGGACCATAAAGAAGGCTGATTGCTGAAGAATTGATGCTTATGAATTATGGTGCTGGAGGAGACTCTGGAGAGTCCCATGGACTGCAAGAAGATCAAACCTATCTATTCTTAAGGAAATCAGCTCTGAGTGCTCACTGGAAGGCCAGATCCTGAAGCTGAGGCTCCAATACTTTGGCCACCTCATGAGAAGAGAAGACTCCCAGGAAAAGACCCTGATGTTGGGAAAGATGGAGGGCACAAGGAGAATGGGACGACAGAGAACGAGATGGTTGGACAGTGTTCTCGAAGCTACAAACATGAGTCTGACCAAACTGTGGGAGGCAGTGGAAGACAGGAGTGCCTGGCGTGCTCTGGTCCATGGGGTCACGAAGAGTCGGACGCGACTAAATGACTAAACAACAACAACAAATAGCTTTCTTGTTTCCTTCCTGCCTCTTGGTGACAGTGGGGGGGGGGGAGAGAATTTCTCAAGCCTGACACTGGGATTCAGAAGCATGAACAATCTCCATCAATGGAGGTAGAGCGTAGCCATCATGGCTAGCAGCCATTGATGACCTTCTCCTCCATGAATTTGTCTAATCTTCTTTTAAAGCCATCCGTGTTGGTGGCCATCACTGCTTCCTGCAGGAGCAGAATGGGGGAGAAGGCTGAGACTTCATATGGAACTGTCTCATGAAAAGCTCCTTGGGACTATATTTCCTGTCTGACATGTCTATTTTTCTGCTGGCTATATTTGGATGAAGAGATCCAGGTCCCATCAAATGCTGTGAGATTCTCAGATGAAGCCCCATGATTACGATTATTAATAGTATTAATTACTGACTTAAGCAGCAGCCCACGGCCTGCTTGTGATTAACGCATGACTTTATTGTCTGATACATGCTGCCCAGAATGGAAGTGCACACACCTGTCATGTTCTATTTGTCATGATGACTGTAGAACTAATGCGAAATGAGGGGAAGGGGGACAAAACTCTTTTTTGAAATAGCAGAAGCACTATGGTGCCATAGCCTCATTGCTGGGGTAGCCACTGTGGCAAATCAGCTTTAAAAATGCACAGTTGCTATCTTTTAAATATTGGCTGTGTTTAGGGATGTCAGAGAGTTCTATGGGAAACACAAATGGGAGTGGAAATGGCCAATGTTTGCTTTATTCACCTCAGGTCCAGAATGGAATACCCAGTATACAATACAATACAATCAGTATTCACTGTCGCTGTTGCTTTCAGTCCACAAACGATACTTTACTGACTACATTCCACACCACTTGATTTGCATTCCCTTTGCACTGAAATGAATGGGGCAAAATAACATAATGACAACATAATTGCAAACTTAATTGTATATATAGCTTTTATAAGAAACACGTTTGCTTGCCAGTTCCCACCCATTGTAAACTTACCGTCCCAGGATTGAACTGGAAGCTTATAAGCAGTAGGATCTGAGCCACTAAGATGGCAAATGACAGGTTGGCGTGGATGTGGTAGCGTTGGTTACATATGGTGCTGACAGAGCTGTGGGAAGGGAAGGAATTGATTAGTATTCTGAGATGAAATGGCTTGTTAACAATGCAACTGAAAGGAATTTGTTTCCTAAATTTACCCGTCTTTCAGGATTAAGCTGTGTCGGATGAGATTTCCCAGTGAAATCAACCCAAAGGACTGGATAGTACGTTATGGTTTCAATCATATGCACATGTTCTTGGGAATAATCCCCAAGTGAATGAAGTCAGACTTGCTCCTGAATATATACAAATAGGATTGCTATCTGAGTGACATCTCTATCTTCCACCATATGGATTTGCTATGGCATGTAATGATTCTATCAACACGGGCAGAAGATTAAAGCATAAGCAATGGAGGCTGGTTCATTGTAGAGAATGGGCCCCACCAGTCTCATTCTGCCCTCAGTCAGCCCCCACCTGCCTGCCTTCCTACTCACATCCAGCCCAAAGGGTGAAGCGGGATGTCTGCTTCCTCTTCCTTAGTCTCTGTGTTGCCCCTTGTAGAAAGTGGAGAAAAGGAAGGGGACAAAACTAGAATTGGATGGCTCTGCCACCTACTGTTGATTCCCCTGCTTTCTGACCTACCAATAGCAATGGTCACCAGCCACTGCTGGTTATAACCTGAAGTGGGTTGAAAAGTAAGGATGACAGAGGCAGCTCAACATCACACAAATGAGGCTAAAAATTAAGCCAGCTCCTTGTGAAACTATGGAGAACTACTGATCTATATTACATCTTTTCACAATTTGACCCACATAATGAAAGCTTTTTTAAAAAATGGTGCTTTGGGTGCACAGACAAGCTCCAACAGTAATTTCAGGAGGCAGAGCAGCACTGGACAGCCATGACAACTGTCCATTAATAGATGTTACATAAATTTAATATGCAGCCTACCAGAAGGCAACTGCGGGAATGTTCTAAGGAAAGAACTGGATGCTTGCTGTCATCAGACAGAGCAGGACCTAATCATCTCCTACATTCCACAGATCTGACCTTGCAGCAGTTCCACAGCAGAGTGTGACATGCCTCTCTCACAGCCTAATGAGACCTAGCCCTCTAGCTACAAAATCATTTTTTAATTGGGATGGTACCATGTCAAAGCAAATGCTACTTAGGTCTCAGAATGTCAACTCCCTTTGCACCAACTAATTTTTAAGTCACTTGGTGGACAGTAGCTACCTACAGACACCGTTGCAGTTTCAGGTGTTCAACAAAGTAGAATAAAAAATTCAACACCTAATCTGTTCCCTTACCACAATCTGCCTCTGGATTCAACAAAAGCAATCAATACAGCATGAAAAGCAGCAATGAAATACCAACTATATATGAGTAGTTGTACCAAGATTTCTGTGTGTGTGTGTGTGTGTGTTCATATTTATTATATTTATATTTTTGTTATGCTCATTATATATGAGGGGTATGGAGTGTTAGGGGGTGGGTAGGACCTCTGGTGGGGGGCACGCTGTGTTCCTTCTGGGGTAGTTTGTTCACCTTTGGTCCCCACCCTGCGCTTGGCTCTCACCTGTGGCTCCTGGAAGCTGTCAGCATGCGATAGCAGCCACACCATGGGAAACAGTTTCAACTGAGTTAGGGACTTCCCTGCATGCAAAGACAGACTCTGGTGGATTGAGTGGACGAGGCCAAGAGTGGGTCCAATGATCAAGAAGGCGGGTTCTGCATGTGCAGTAGAGGGAAGTGAGGGGCAGATGGGGCTGGTCCACCTGGGAAGGTAGTCCACCTAGGAGAAGAAGTCTGATCCTATGCCTCCTCTACATTGCAGGATAACTTCAGGAGAAGAAAGGGCTAAGGAGTAAATCCTACACAAATCTGGGGTGGAGTCCCTAAGACAGTTGGATGTTGTCTTGTATGCCTCCTTCCGGCAACTCCCACAGCCAAGCTGGTGTTCTGCTTTCCTTTGGGACGCATCAGCGAGGTCAAGAGGAGATCTTGTCATCTCGACAGCCCAGGACCTCCATACAGGACCACCCAGTCTTGCTTCTTAAGGAGGTCGCTTCTGTGCTGCTAACTCAACTGTTTGGCTTCACCACCAGAGGTGCACCCCATTGACTCTTGAGACAGATGGATGCCAGCAGCAGCAACAACAACATTTGTATGCATTGCTACATGTGGTGTTTGACCATAGTAGGGAGGGAAACAGCTTGAAAATGAGAGCTTGGAGATTTGGGAACAGCCAGGCTGCCTTTGCAATTACTAGAGGTTCTTTGGGTCATCCTGATATAAGAATTAGAGACCCCAGATGTATATTTTTTATTATTTTAATAATGTTTCAATTTAATTGCATTTAACCTTTCAGAATGTATTAGGCTTGATTTTGTGTGTTCTGCATTTGCGAGCCTCTCCCTCCTTTGCTGTATTCAATCTCTCCTTATCTACCCCTGAAAGTGGTACAAATGGCAGGATGTTTTAGCACCGGAGGGTAAGTCAGCTATCCTTGAAGCTATCTGAGACCCTGGAAGAGGATTTTATGATGCACTATCCCTCCCGTTGAAGGCTAGGTTGCCAGGGCAATGTTGGACATCCAAGACCTAAAATGGTCAAATGATCTGGGCACATCGAGGCCACTCCAAGGTGATTGTGGGGTTGAAAATACCAGTATGGAGCCATGGGTGTTTTACTTCTCATGACCTGTAACATTTCCTGACATATCTGAGGATGTTTTATGACTCTTTGTTTGAACTGCTATATAAGCTTTTGTTCTGAAGTGCCTTGGGGCAGACCTTCTCCACTGGCAGGTTGAGTTGAGTGAGCTCTGTCCTATTGCAACAGCTATAACAAGCGCTGGGTTCCTAAATCTGGATGCTGGACTTGAAAATAGTTTCCTTGGTTCTGTGGTTTATTCAAAAGGTGGTTGTTCCTCACCTGGGTAACAAACAAGGTGCTGTCGAGGTGAATTCTTACCACAATCCTCGACAGCCAACTACTCATGCAATTCGTACTTCAAGATTGGAAGGCTAATCACCCATTCTCCATTACTCAATGGTCTGAAAATCTCACTGCCCTTCTGACATTTGAATGTGTATCTTACAATCAGCAATCTCATTTGGATATCGGTTTATACACATGGACTTATTGTATTGAAATATATGGGGGGTATTTAAATCAGGACTGATGGATTCTTCTTATTGTTAAATGTGAGCAGACTTTTTTTCTTTCATATCTGCAGTCATATATACCCTTGATGCAATCATATGTACAACTGCAGGAAGTGTGCTCTTCTGTAGCACTTGATTAATGTGGAAGCATGTGGTGATAATGTAGAGAGGGGAGAAATATGCAACTGAACTTAAGGAACTGGAAGCTGAGGCCCACTGTAAATGCTCCGGTTTTGTTTGTTTGTTTGTTTGTTTTGTTTTTAATCTGTTATTGCAGAATTCAGAAAGAGCAGAAGCCACAGCAGAAGGAAACCACCAAACATTAAAGGAATGAATGAGGGAATCTATTCATCCATAGTGTGAATGTCCAATGCCCCTCCATCCCTCTCTAAATGTAGGCTCTGAACAACATCTGCCCCTCCCCAATGTCTGGGTGATTTCCACATCATGATATATCACCATCTAAACATTATGGTGCTGGAGGAGACTCTTGAAAGTTCCCATGGACTGCAAGAAGATCAAACCTATCCATTCTTAAGGAAAACAACCCCGAGTGCTCACTGGAAGGACAGATCCTGAAGCTGAGGCTCCAATACTTTGTACTTTGGCCACCACATGAGAAGAGAAGACTCCCTGGAAAAGACCCTGATGTTGAGAAAGATTGAGGGCACAAGGGGAAGGGGACAACAGAGGACGAGATGGTTGGACAGTGTTCTCGAAGCTAGCAACATGCGTTTGACCAAACTGCGGGAGGCAGTGAAAGACAGGAGTGCCTGGCATGCTCTGGTCTATGGGGTCACGAAGAGTCGGACACGACTAAACAACTAAACAACAACAACAAACATTGTGATATACTGATCTATCACAATGTCTGAAATAAGGATGGAGCTATGTAGAGGCATTGGCTAGTTTCATGGTTCTCTCCACATTGTGATTTTTGCATAGCACATGCACTCACACACCATGATTTGCAATATATGGCCAGGTCAAAAATTATGATACTGATATCACAATATGGACTTCAAACTGGCTTTGGAAGATTTTTTGATATATTGCCCAGCCCTATAGCTGTGGAGAAACAGGAAAACATTCATGAAATTGACCTGTGAAATTGAGGGAAAGCAGTATCAAGACAGACTAGATTGCTGCCATGTGGTCTCTGCAGGGCTGACCTTGGGCCTGATCCAGAAGCTCCAGGTAGTGCAGAATGCAGTGGCTAGACAGCTGATGGGGAGCAGGTGGCACCTCTGCTAAAACATACATGCCGACAATGTATATGCTATTGTGCCAGGTTACCAAAAAAATCCCTGGACAGCTCAGGTCTAGGCTTCCTTAAGGATAACCTGAAGCCTTATATGCCAACTCTGTCACCGAGATCTTTCAGAGGAGCATTGTTAGTTACCCCCATGTTGCAATGGCCCAACTGGCCACCACTAAGAGATGGGCATTTTTGACGTTGGTCCCATGCTGTGAGATATTCTTCCTGCAGAGCTTTGGCAGCCATCTTGGCTTTTGACTTTGAGCTGTCTTTTGAAGACCTTTTCAGTCCAACAGGCCTTTGCAGTTCTTGATGATAACAATGATGATGATTTCATTTTACGTATATCACTTTAATGATCACTTGAACTGTTTTTAATTGTGTTTATGTTTTAGCACTGATAGCACTCTGATATGTTCATGTTTATTTATTTCAACATTTTGCTGAAGGGTGCGTGGAATGGACAAATCAAAGCAACCCCTTTCGATGGGAGTGAAACGACTGAAGATGGTCACCTAGTCATTTCAAGCCAGACCTGGGCAGGTTGTGGGACACAATGAAAGTGTCATCACCTTGAAATCTGGGCTGGTGACCTCACACTCTGTATGAAACTCTGTGCGAAGGTTTGGCTGGCGCAGGCTGAATTTCCAGCAACAAATAGCCCTGACCAGTAGGAATTGCCTGTCAATCATCAAGATCGCAAGCAGCTTCCCAATCAAGGGAAAGAATAACCAAGAGGCAGGTTTGTTAACAGTGTAATTCGAAACAGAAAGGATTGTGATAATGTGCATTCATTTTCATTTTCTTGCAGTAGCCTTTCATGCCTATTACGATGTATGCCTCTGTTCTGGAGGCAAATTGCTCTAAATAAGCACACAATTAACAGCCTAAGGCTTGATCCTTTGATGGAAAAATAGGAGTAACTCTGGAAAACTGCCAAGGTTTAAATTCAAGTAAGCAGAGCAGAGAATCCCACCCAGTATTTCCATATTTATATCAAATTTGACACTTCACAACTACCGTTTTGTGTTGTTATCTACATAGGGGTGTCTTTTCTATAAATATGGAAATAAAGTGTTTATCACTAGCTCCCCAAATCACATTACAATTCCTGCTAAGGGCAGCTTCTTGGATGAGTGCTTCTTTCTTTGCCTGTGCCTTCATGAGAAATTCCGCTTGAATCCCAACAAGTCTTGCTTATTGCAATCTGATGGGCCAACAGAGCACATTCACCAAATGCTCTCACATTAAATAGCTTTAATACTGTTTTGGGGGGACAGAGGGAGAGCAGGTGTGGGGGACTCCCTGGTTCTGAATGGGGCAACTGTGCCCCTGAAGCACCAGGTGTGCAGCCTGGGAGTCATTTTGGACTCACAGCTGTCCATGGAGGTGCAGGTCGACTCTGTGTCCAGGGCAGCTGTTTACCAGCTTTATCTGGTACACAGGCTGAGACCCTACCTGCCCGCAGACTGTCTTGCCAGAGTGGCACATGCTCTGGTTATCTCCTGTTTGGACTACTGCAATGCGCTCTACGTGGGGCTACCTTTGAAGGTGACCTGGAAACTACAACTAATCCAGAATGCGGCAGCTAGACTGTTGACTGGGAGTGGCCGCCGAGACCATATTACACCAGTCTTGAAAGACCTACATTGGCTCCCAGTATGTTTCCAAGCACAATTCAGAATGTTGGTGCTGATCATTAAAGCCCTAAATGGCCTCAAGGCCCAGTATACCTGAAGGAGCATCTCCACCCCCATCGTTCAACTCAGACACTGAGGTCCAGGTTTGAGGGCCTTCTGGCGGTTCCCTCACTGTGAGAAGTGAGGTTACAGGGAACCAGGTAGAGGGCCTTCTCGGTAGTGGCACCTGCCATGTGGAATGCCCTCCCATCAGATGTCAAGGAAATAAACAACTATCTGACTTTTAGAAGGGAAGTTTTTAATGTTTGACGTTTTGTTCTTTTTTAAGTGTTCTGTTGGAAGCTGTCCAGAGTGGTTGGGGAAACCCAGCCAGATGGGTGGGTGTATAAATAATAAAATTATTATTATTGTTATTGTTATTGTTGCTGCTGCTGCTGTTGTTGTTGTTGTTGTTCTTGTTATTATTATTATTAACGGAGTTCTCAACAGGCCCACGGAGCTCCTGTTCAGCTGAGTAGCCAAAAGGTTGCAGAACATCCAAGCATATATGAACTTGCAGATAAAGGCCATATTTTTTTTTACCAAGAGTAGATTACTGAACAGGCAAAAAAAAGAAATGAAAGTACAGTGGTACCTCGGGTTAAGAACTTAATTCGTTCTGGAGGTCCATTCTTAAACTGTTCTTAACCTGAAGCACCACTTTAGCTAATGGAGCCTCTTGCTGCTGCTGCTACTGTGCCGCCGCCGTGCGATTTCTGTTCTCATCCTGAAGCAAAGTTCTTAACCCGAGGTACTATTTCTAGATTAGCGGAGTCTGTAACCTGAAGCGTCTGTAACCCGAGGTACCACTGTACTGGCATGGGACCCATGGATTCCACAAGACAGCTCAGTCTGCAAGTGCTAGTTAAAGAGGCCTCAGCGACAGAGCAAGCCAATCTGGTGCCTTGGGCGGCATGTGTTCCCTGGGCTCAGGGGCGGGCCCAGCTGCCTGCAGGGGCGGGGCCAGCCAGGGCAGGATGCTCCATAGGGCCCCTGAGGAGTCTGCCTGCCTCCTGCCAGTCAACTACCCTACAGCTGAGGGGCAGGCAGCAGGCGGACCGTTTGGGGCAGCGCAGATCCTGTGGGCGCCCAAGTCACCACGTCACTCCCAGGAGTGATGCGTGGCTCGGGCGAGCTGCAGGCCCCCCATGATGGCATTTTGTCACCCCCCTCAGTGGTCCACGCAAACACACAAACACGTCAGAACCACACAATCACGTCTCGGCCACTCTCTTCCTTCCCATACATTAGAAAGAACTTTCTGGTGGTAAGAGCTATTTGACAGTGGAATGACTGCCAGGCTCTCCATCAGTGGAGATTTTTAAAAGAGAGTTGGGATAGCCTTCTGTCAGAGATTATTTAGCTGTGAATCCTGCATTTCAGAGGGTTGGTCTAGATCATAGGCAGGCAAACTAAGGCCCAGGGATAGCTTCGAGAACACTGCCCAGCCACCTCATCCTCTGTCATCCCCTTCTCCTTGTGCCCGCCATCTTTCCCAACATCAGGGTCTTTTCCAGGGAGTCTTCTCTTCTCATGAGGTGGCCAAAGTATTGGAGCCTCAGCTTCAGGATCTGTCCTTCCAGTGAGCACTCAGGGCTGATTTCCTTCAGAATGGAGAGGTTTGATCTTCTTGCAGTCCGTGGGACTCTCCAGAGTCTCCTCCAGCACCAGAATTCAAAAGCATCAATTGCAAGTCTACAATTCTCTAATTCCTCCTGCCACATTCACCCCCCCCCACCTTGAAAAAGAGGAATGGGCTGGAGAAATAAGCGAAGAATAGATTGCAAGGAAATAACTTGCCATCTAAATAGCTTCCTGGATTCAGGAAATTAAAGTAATTTAGACCAAACCCAGCCAAGTGTTACAAATATATATGCAGGATATAATTAAAAGAGGTTTAAGAAATTAATAACCTTTTATGAAACTCTCAACACCTGAGAGCGTCCAGTCCAGTAAGTCTGAAATGGAATACACACACTTTCTCTCTATATATATATCTGACGATCCATATTTCCAGGGCAATATCGGCACAGCAGGTAGAAAAGTTAAAATTACTCACGACAGAACCGCAAACGTGACCAATGTGATCATCAGGCAGAAGATGGAGATGGAGCAGCCGATGTAACTGATGGAGGACAGCGCCACCTTGTGTCCCGCTGAGAGCTGTGCACCGGGGAAAAGAGAAAGGACGCCTATTGTTAATCAATTGGATTAGGCCAGCAAGGAACAGTTTATCAACAGCTTTAGCCAAATGGGAAAAAAAGTCATAATGACATTAGCAGGGCGGCATTTAGAAAACTGGGCCATATCAAACAAGCAGAAATATTCACACAATGAGATTTAAAAATGAACAAACACCCTCAATAAACAAGAGCATTTGAATTTGCAGAAAGCAGTACAGTGGTGCCTCGCAAGACGAAATTAATTCGTTCCGCAAGTTTTTTCGTCTTGCGGTTTTTTCATCTTGCGAAGCACGGTTTCGGGAAAGTTTTGGAAAAGCTTCAAAAATCACCAAAGTCTTCAAAAACCTCAAAAAAGGCTACCACACCGCGTTCTATGAGTTGCTCCTCGAAGTCAAGTCGCAACTGTATTAACGGTGTTAAGAAAAAGGAAACAAACTTGCAAGACGTTTCCGTCTTGCGAAGCAAGCCCATAGGGAAAATCGTCTTGCGAAGCAGCTCAAAAAACAAAAAACCCTTTCGTCTTGCGAGTTTACCGTCTTGCGAGGCATTCGTCTTGCGAGGTACCACTGTACTGATTTCCGCCCGCCCCCGACCTGTTTTGCCCTGATGCACAAGACCTGAGAGCCAAAATATTTGGTTGTGGCCAAGGCTGGATTTAGGTTTTGTTTGTTTGTTTGTTTTTGAATATTTTATTAGTTGAATGTAAGAACAACATATAATCAAATACAAGCAATCAAATACAGTTTTCCCCTAACACCCCCCCCAAAAAAAACAACACAAGAAATTTCACCTAGAATCATAGAATCATAGAGTTAGTTGGGATCTTGAGGATCATTTAGCTGGAAAGCTATCTATAAACAAACGCCGGCTCCCTTGGCCTGAAAGCAAGATGAGCACCACACCCCATAGTTAACTTAACAATCCAGGGGTCCTTTACCTTTACCTTTATTCCCATGCCATTGTCCCTTACAGGAAACAAACCTGCAACCTTGGCACCACACTCGAATCAGCTGAGCTGATCCGTTGAGTTTGCTTTTAGAGAGAGGGGTGGGGGGTTTTTTAAGGCCAGGATAGATTCATGGAAAATGAGTCTGCCTATGTTAGCCAAGTGGAACCTTCACTAAAGGTAAAGGTACCCCTGCCCGTATGGGCCAGACCTGCCAGACTCTGGGGTTGTGCGCCCATCTCACTCAAGAGGCCGGGGGCCAGCGCTGTCCGGAGACACTTCCGGGTCACGTGGCCAGCGTGACATCGCTGCTCTGGCGAGCCAGAGCCGCACACGGAAATGCCGTTTACCTTCCCGCTAGTAAGCAGTCCCTATTTATCTACTTGCACCCGGGAGTGCTTTTTAACTGCTAGGTTGGCAGGCGCTGGGACCGAACAACGAGAGCGCACCCCGCCGTGGGGATTCGAACCGCCGACCTTTCGATTGGCAAGCCCTAGGCGCTGAGGCTTTTACCCACAGCCCCACCCGCGTCCCTTGGAACCTTCATATGCAAAAGCAATAAAGCACTGGATACCAGATACAAGGAACAGGCAACAGGATATGATGCCCCATGTCCTATTCATGGACAGATGATTTTTTTTAATTAAAGATTTTCTTGTTTTAAAGAAGTATTTGTAATGTCTCTCGTATTTTTTCCATGTAACATTTTTGCAAATCAGTTTCATTTGTTGAGACATTAGGAAGAAAAGGGGTGGAGGCCCTACTAAACATCTTCCAAGACAACAATGCCCATTTACACCACAAAGCACTCATAACCCACCTACTTTCAGCAGCCAGAAACACCATAGCCAGACACTGGAGAGACCTGTCAGGAGTAAGCATGGGCCAATGGTACCAAATAGTATGGGAAACAGCCCTACTCGAAAAATTAACCAATAAACTGAAACTGACATGGGGACAAACGGACAGAGGATTTGCACGTTCTCCATGAGACTTGGTGAATGTGTGCAATGTCTGGCTGTTATACCCATTAACCGCTCAGCTTCCATTACACCTTACGTATACACACAGTTTGGTCATCAAGTGTTGCACCTCAAACAAAAGTAGATTTTTTTTAAAAAAAAGTTTTGAATGGGAAGAGCTGAAATCTTCTGTTATATTTATGAGGCTTTTTTAAAAAAAAAGCGAGAGAGAGAAAAAGGAATTTTTTTCCATATTCATAATTCAGACTGTTGAGAGTTATCAGAAGAGGGGTCTGTGCTATTGGCTCTCAATTATTTAAAGAGGTGTTTTAAATTTTTCATGCTAAGTTTCCTTTTATTTTTAAATGATATAAGGAAAACTGATATAAGGAAACTGATAGGAAAACTGTGTTAATAATTAAAAGAATCGTTAAGCACTTGTTTATCTAAGAAAAAGCGAGGTCATTCATTCTTTACTGATTTACGGGCCAACACAACAACAACATGGAAAATGAACGTTGCCACAAGAAGAAGCTCAAGGTGGAATCTTAGCTCCAACAATAATAACTGGAGACAATGTTTATAATTACAAATTACTGCAAGAATCATTAATAGGTAATAGGCCTTTGGAGGGGAGAAATTAAATTCTGGATGATCACTGCCGTGTAAAGTTTCAAACAGGTTTGAGTCAATAACTCTAGGTCTGGTTGATGTGATGCTATGTATAGCAATTACAGTGGTACCTCAGTTTTCGAATGTTTCCGCTGATGAACATTCTGGTTTTCGAACGCCCCAAACCCAAAAGTAAATGCTTCCATTTTTTAACACATCTCACAAGTCGAATGGCTTCTGCTGAGTGTTTCTCAATTTTCTCAATTAAGTTTGCAGGCCGCCCTTTGCACCTCAGTTTTGGAACTCGAACAGTCTTCCGGAATGGATTATGTTCAAAAACCGAGGTAGCACTTTACCCACTTGCTATATCAGCAGCAGGGAACCTCTTTCAGCCTAAGGGGCAACCATTCAGGGGATGTGTGCCACTGATGGGTGGAGCCAGACACAAAAGTGGGTGGAGCAATTAATGCAAATGTCATTTCATGCAGTAGGTCAGGTACGATGCAAGTTCACTTCACTCTTTCTCTCCCTCTATCCTCCACCCAAACAACCAAAGGGCTACTGTATCAGAGTTCAAGGACATATGCCAGCCAGGCAAAAACACTCAAGGTGTGGAGCAAGGGCTAGTGAGGGCTCTGGCCTCGGGAGAAAACTGAGCTCCAGATAGAAATACCCGGGGGGGCGCATTCAGCCTCTGGACTTGAGGTTCCCCTTGTTAGAATTCCTGCTCCATGATTGCAGTCATGGGATTTTTGTCTATCACATGATGGTGTATGTTTTGACTTCACAGAGTGGGAAGTAACGGAGACAGGATGTTTGTGTTACTGTGTTTCATGAAGTGGGACTATTGTCCTTTGTTCTTTCTCTTTGCTGTCTGATGCTAGAGAGAGAGGGAGCCATGTTGCAGTGCTCTGTGTGTGTTTATATGTAAATAAAGTAGATTAGCCAAAATGCTGAGGTCTGTTACGCAAGCTGCAAAGACTCTGCGGATCCCTAAGTGTGCCGATGTCCGTTGGCACTGGTCACTGTGATGTTCAGGCTGAAGAAGGCTTTTGAAGCTCCCAAATGAATGACCAAGAGGGAGAGAACATGTCAGTCGGGCATGTGACTCTACCACTGTCCTACTGGAGTGTAGGACGAGCTCCTGAAACCCCTCCCATGCATGCAATAATCATTTTGCAAGCACAACCACCAGGGGAGATGCCTCATGACTTTCCACATGTGCTGCATCAGTAGGATTTTGGTATCACATGGCAGGACAGAACAGCAAGCCCACCTCTCCCAAGACCACATCCACAGCATGTTCACACTCCTGTCTAAGCAACATCTATGCTGTCTTGGTCATGTCCACAGAACGGAAGGATCCCCAAAGACATGCTCTACGAGGAACTGGCTTCAGGCACCAGGCCTGCTGGCAGACCAACTCTGTGTTACAAAGATGACTGCAAACGTGACATGAAGGCTGGCAACAACAACCCTGTCATGTGGGAATCCCTTGAAGACGACCGCAGTGCCTGGAGACAGACAGGCAGGTTGTGCATCCATAGCAGCGACCAGAGGATGAAAGACCTCCAGGAGGAGCGCAGAGAGAAGAAACGCCATGATACATCTGCAGCAACACAACCGGATGCCTTCCTCTGCCCCAGCTGCAACAAAACATGTCGCTCCCTTATCGGTCTCTACAGCCACAGCAGCTGCTGTAATCTCTCAACAGTTTAACTTCACCCACAAAGGCGCACTCCTCCATTTTCTCCCGAGATGGACGAATGCCATCAGTATTATCTAGACTAAAATGGACGAGCTGTGGTTTGTTAATGTATCAGATGTTAAAATCCTTAAACATAAGGACAGTTGTACTGGATCAGATGGGAGGCCCAGATAGTCCACAAGCATCCATAGCGGCGAACCAAATGCCTCTAGCCAGCCTGCAAGTCAGGCTTGAAGGGAACAGCCCTGATATCAGCAACTGCCTCTGAATCTGGAAGGAGGCAAGCCCTGTCTCGACTTGGAGTCACTGACAGCCTAATGCCTCATGGATTTCCCTAATCTACTTTTAAAACCAGCTAAGCTGCCGGCATCCCGCAGCAGAGAATTCCACAGATTAAACTGCGCACTGTATGAACAAATAGTTCCTCTTGTTTGTTCTGAATCTCTTGCCAATCACTGTCACGGGATTACCCTGGAGCTCTAGAGCTTTGTGGAAGAAAAGCTCCTCTCTGTCGACTTTCTCTGTACCAGTCATAATTTTATAAATCTTTATTGGGTCCCCATTTCCTTTGTAAACTAAACTATACTCCAAAATCGAAACCTTTTCCTCATATGGGGAGTTGCTCTGCATTTTCTGGTCTTTTGGGCCACCCTTTTCTGCTTTGCAATATTGTTTTTGAGATGTGGGAACCACAACAGTACAGAGTATTCCTTCTGAGCTGGGGGAAGGTAAATGGATGCTGTGTTGAACGC